GCACGCCAAATTACCTATGGGATGATTTATACGGCTTTTTTTAAAGGACATAATAGTTCATCCCTTAATACTAAATAGCATTAGCTGATAAGTCATTATTTTAGTCACCATAACAACCACAGGAAATTATGAGGGCCTTGACATACTGCGTATGGCTCAACAGGTGAGCAGCGTCTCAAGTCTCCCCAGTGTCAGCCCATTTCCTAATCATTTGTCTTAGAAACAGGAACTGGAAGATTGTCCCAGCCAAATTTTCTACCTTCAGGCAGGTGGAAACATCATCATCTTCATTTTACCCTTCACACTCTTGATGTGGACAAATATTATTCCTGCCCCTGAATATTATCCTCTAGAAAAATGTTTTGTGTACCAAAGACGCTAAGATATTCAACTTCTTAATTACAATGAAACTCCGTAAGAAAAACGGACAAAGATTCTCTAAAGAAAAAACTAGTCTTTAAAGTCAATCGGTTTCAAGGGGTAAGGGCTGAACTACTGTAGAGATATCAAAATTTATAAATTTTTGAAAGCATCTTTGCAGTGTTTGCTAGTCAAGCAAAGAGTATGCATCACAATCATCACTTTGTATGTAATGACGTTGAATTATTTTGTTTCTTGAATTATCAACAACATCATGATTAAAAGATGTTTAGAATACTCATTTTTAACCATTAAGGGTAAGCATTATTCTTTAAATGCCAAAAAAAAGGTGATCTTCATCCTGTGGAAATTGAAAAGATGGCTATTCCATCTTCACTAGAAATGCTCTTTAACAATAAGCTAATATTCTGTGATCTTTCAAAATCTGAGGTGGGCATTTCATCTTTTAGGGCTGACATACGCACAACTTTCTCTAAGATTAAAAACTGTTTTGCCAGTTAATGAAGGGGAAACACGTTGTACTGTGAATCTTCGTCTCAGAAAGTTTTCCTTTGAAACTCACATAAAACAAAATTACGTTCTTTCTGAAGCAGTGATACTATTGCATGGAATCTAACAAAAAAAACAGCAATCATCACTATAGAGATAAAGTATTTTGAGTTTCCCTACACTCTTCATTCACTATATTGAGGAATGAGAATTTTTAATGAGTTGGATTTGGCTCTGAGCTCCAAACATAATTACCCTAAACTTAAACCCCCACACTCATTGATTAGCCTCTAATTTCAATTCTGGAAAAAATAAATTACCACTGGAATTAGTTTCTCTGGAAACATTCCTACAGCACATTTATTACCAGCACTTGAAACAACATTGAGAACATTTTATCTATTATAATAAATATGGACATAGCTCATACAATCCATTTTTTAAAATCCTTAATATTCCAATTATGCATCTGGAAAAGGCCAACAAAATGATGAATCGGTCAAAGAACTCAATCCCGTCCCTGAATATTATCCTCTAGAAAAAATTTTGTGTCCCAAAGACGCTAAGATACTCAACTCCTGAATTACAATGAAATTCCTTAAGAAAAACAGGCAAAAGTTCTTTATAAAGAAAACACTATTCTGTAAAGCCAATCGGTTTTAAGAGGTAAGGGCTGGACCACTGTAGAGATATTAAAATTCACAAATTTTTGTAAGTATCTTTGCAGTATGTCCTATTCAAGAAACGACTATATTAACTCGTGTATGCTTGTGAGCCTTGTTTTATTTTTAGCAAGGACAGTTGAGAATAGTTTTATTTTTCAATTTATAAAATGTCTCTCAGACAAGCATATGAGAAACCTTCCCAAACAACATCTTGCCTTATTTTTCAATATTCACAGGTGGAAGGAGAAAAAAATCAAATCAGACAGAAATTTTGCATGCAGGGAAAATAAGGCAATCAGAAGTGATATGATCATACCCTCCAGCTTCTCAACTTATTGTATGTCAGAGTTCAACCTTGGGATTTGGGATCTGAAGACGTGACATGTTATTGATTTCACAGGGCGAAGGGGAAACAAGGCTAGACATAGTGGTTCAGCATCTGGGAATGGGGCAAGGGGCTGTTGCATGCCTGGCATGATGTCAGGCTGTACGGAAGATTCCCACTGAAAAGCTCTCAGCCCCCAAGTCTTCAAATCTCCCATCACACAATTAATCCTTTAAATTAGGCAGCTGATTTCCCTGTAGTCTTCCTTTAAAATATGGCTGAGGTGAGTGGATGGCCTGAGCCCGCGGGTTCGAGACCCGCCTGGACAACTTGGAGAGACCTCATCTCTACAATAAATCAAAAATTAGCCGGGCGTGGTGGCGTGGGCCTGTAGTTCCGGCTACTTGGAAGGCTGAGGCGGGAGGATCACCGGAGCCCAGCGGGTCAAGGCTGCGGTGGCCAGAAGCGTGCCACTGCACTCCAGTCTGGGCGACAGAGTAAGACTCCAACTCAAAAAAAAAAAAAATGAAAAAATAAAATAAAGTATGGCTTCCCTTCTGGGAAGAAATGACCCAGCAGCCTCTTCCTGCTCTTGCCTTCATCTTATATTTGGTAACAGATAACAGATCTATTAATATCTCACATTGATACATCACACTAGAATTGACCAAACACATGGATCTGCATTATTTCATCCACACAACCTTATGAGGCATTTCTGTTTCTATTTTAGAAATGAGCCATTTAAAGTCTCAGAGAAGCTAAACGGCTACACAAAGTCCACTGCCCCACCTTTAGCATGGGACATTACACTCTCCAACATCTGATCAGCCCAAACAACAGAGTCTCCACCAAGCTCCAGACACTGGGCCATGGAGTCATTAGTGAACCCAGGTCCGCTCTCTCTACTCAACTACCTTGGGTAAATCCCTGAGCCGATAAGATGAGGCTACCAATATCAGCCCAACCTAACACACCGAGTAGAATAAAGCAACACAACGAAGGTGGAAAGGATTTGAAAACCCTCAAAGAAAGCTATCCCAACCGAAAGTGTTGCTTTTAGCACCTTCCTGGGAATGAGCATGTCAGATTGTCTTTCGCGTTGAAAGCAAAGGGCTGATGGTGATTTTGAACATCTGATCATAGAGGGAGTTCTATTAACAGGCAAGCGAAGGAAAAGCCACAAGACCAACCTCATTGCATACATCACATTTAAGTCCATGGCCCTCCCTAGATAAAATATACCTGGAGCACGTTGCTTTGTTAACTAAGGCATCTCCAACACCATGCAAGAAACCCAAGTTCAGGGCAGAGCCAAGCAAAAATGCCATGGGATAAAAATATAGTTACAAGAAGCCCTAGAGTTTCTAGACAGGCAACTGGTTACTGCCAAAGGAGTGGAATTCAAACCTTTAATCACACCAGGAAACAAAGTGGGTGCCTGGGAGGGAATACTTTGGAACCACAATAGTTCATACATTCTAAGATTCCGTTTTTATTCAACTTTATAGCGGTAAAATCGGGATGAATTGATGGGATGGAAGGTTATTGTGGTCACCGTTCACTCTTTTTCGTGAATATGTCGGATCATGGAGCATCTGACCATGGATGTTATTTTAGGTCTTATTAATTAAATTAGATGTTTTAAATTATCTGTTTTCAAGCTGGCTCAAAGGGCTGGTTTCCAGTTGTGCAGGCCGACTATGCTGTGTCTTATCTGCACAGGGCTTTGTAGCCAGCCACCTTTTCTCAGCCCTGCCTCCACACTCAGGCCTGGTTAGGGTCCAGAAATCTGGACTGACTGCAGAAGGCAGCTCCCTCACCAACCCCTCCCCGCAGTGACAAAGTGACAGAGTGGTTGGCATCAGATCGCATCTGGTCTCTGTTCTCCTCCCTTAAAACTGGCTTGATGTCTTTTTAAAGCTCTGCAAACCACAAAGCTTCCAGTTATAGCTCTACCACTGGCAGCTACCTGCTCCTATCTGCTTCTGCTTCAAGAAGACCATTCTAGGGCTGAGCCTGGAGAAACACCCACAGCCGCCGATGTGACTCAAGCTCTCTCTTAGCTTCTCTGTCAGAGCTTAGCCTGGCCTGCTTTTTCGACCACAACAGAAAAATTATGGGCAGCCCGCCCAGCCTCACCGTCCACTTTCAGTAGCACCTTCTACAGCAAACGCAAGACTCATTTGCAAGTCCTACAACTTGAACCTATCACAATGCAATACACTTCTACAATGACACACTAGCCACCCAGTACATTCAGCACGTAGCAGACACCTGCCAAGAAGCTTGTCGCTCTGGTTGCTCTGACATGAAAGAGTCGGTATAAAAAAGTGATGTTCACAAGGATGAAGAGAGAAGATCTAAATCTCAGGAAGCGGCAAAAGAAAATGCGCCGAGTCGTTTAAAAGAAATGGGAGTCTCACCTAGAACTAGGTGGAAAAGGTCTATGCAAAGAACAGCAAGGACTGCCAGGGGAGGGAGGGGCACACCTCATCAACAAGGGTACCTGTATAATGAATATTTGTACACCTAACCCTGAATCGTACCCCACTTCTTCAAAATAACGGGGAAGAAAAAGAACAGCTGGGAGCCACGTTGTTTTTCTACATCAAAATCACTTCTAACACCATATTATAACTATCAAGTCACTTGATACCAGACCACGACACCATTAAACACGCATGCACGCACTCACACGAGCACACACACACTTATCCCTCCTCCAAAGCTTCTCAGACTGTGGATGAAAAATACAGTTTCAAATCAAGAACAATTTAAGCTAACAGACCCAATGATCTTGCTCTCCCTTGAGCCTCATTTTTTTTTCCTTTTCAAAGCTTGATCCTCCCCGCTCCCATTCACCCCCCCGACCCCTGTTTCTATAGACCAAATTCCAACAGCCTCTACTCGGAATCTTACCTGAGACCACACTGTAAATGCATCCTCGAAGTATGACCCCGGTGTATTTCCTCGGCCAGCAGAAACAGGCCATGTGCTCCAAAAGAAATAAGGCTGCGACACAATCAGATCTCAGCTTCACCATGCTATTTAAAGAGATCCCCCCAGCACAGGGTGTGAGGAAAGATCCCCTCCCGCCAAAAGCCAGTTAAACAGGAGACAAATAACCAGTCAAGATATTCCTTGATAAGATCCTTAAAAATTATCTTTAATTGATGCCAAATATGAACAGATCATAAAGTGACAGAAGCAAGTAAAATTGCATAGATGAAAACTATGCGCATCAATTAGGTTCTCAATTCATAACATTCAATGTCCTCGACCTGACATATGGAACAGTGAGAGAAGGGGAAATGCACAGGTGGTGAAGATGAGACACGTCCTTAACTCAAGGCGTAAGCAACTGGCAAACTCAAGAAATAAAACGGTGCTTTTTCAGCTTCAATGGTTTGTTGCCCTGATGGTGCACTTTACATCAATACTACTCAATTTTTATTTTTAACTTCAGTAATACTTTCTCTGTCATATAAGAGGTATGTCACACACACAGTCCATGACGTCTACTTCTAGCTGTTGCATCCACAGTCCCCAAACAGTACACTGGAGAGAAGAAAGGTGCTTCTGCAAGTTTTGGAGAGGAGACAACTTTTGACCTGGAATATTTAACAAGGAATTTCTTGTTTGGTTTGGTTTTCCTTCCCTACACCATTTACTCTTCTTCTCTGATTGTGGTACAAAACTTTTCCATACGCTCTGAAGTCTCACATCGTAAAAAGTAAACTCCTGGTTAGCTCCTAAAAGAGAATCACTGTGACTAGGGTTAATCTCCTTAAATCTAATGGCCCTGAGATCAGCAGGGCCTCAGCCCTTACGCACACACTGGACTTCCCAAGGAAGCCCGTGGTTGTTTTGCCTGAGCAAAGAGACCGGTATGTGATCCCAAGGCTTCTAAACGTGACATCTATACCCTGAATGAGTTTGCACAGTGACCCAAGGTCATGGAACAGTTTTGGTTAACGATTCAGCTCCTGACTGTTTCTTTACAAAAATGATTAAGTAAGGTACATTCTTTTAAGATTTACCTGAGTCATGCTAGACATGTTCACATATACCCTGAAATTCCATGATATAAGTACAAGAACTAATACGTCGCAGAGTTCATGAGAAGTTACCACCTGAGATCACAATTCAACTTGGGATATGTCCGGTCTCAAATTCTAGTTTGTTAATTTTAATGAACATAAACATCGAAAGACTCCATTTTTGCTTGAGAAAGCTGGAGGACACCATGGTGGCTTGGCAGTTTATATTCTTTCTAACAATTGTATACTATGGATGGTTACCACCCACCAATTCTCACCACTCCCAGGAATAAGTCATTCCTGGAAGAAAATGGGAAAGTGCCTTCTGCTAATGTTCTCTTCCTCCTTTCTGTTCAACCCTATCTACCAAACAAGGAATCATAATTTAAAAATTATTTTTAAAAGCATGTGTTTTGAGGTCTCCTATATAAAATAGGAGGGTTAGAAGACTATTTTTACTGACTTTTAGGTGGTAACTAATTTGAAAATTTTGTAACTACACACAATGTGAAGGCGGCCCTTTACGGACTATGCTGAACTTCTGCTTAAAGAAACGTATTCCTAATTTATCGTTTACATGTATCTTTTAAAAAAAATTCTCAAGTGAATCAAGACTATGATGCCCCCTGTGCTCAAGTCCCACCAGAGGGGAATCCAACCCTTCCGTACGATCCCATTTGAGGGGAATGACTGCCCGCGGGCCATAGTCCCGGAGAAGGATTTGCTATATCGGTTTATCATTCTACTAGGCTAGCCCACTCCCAACGAACGGATTTCACTGATCATCAGAGCTCAAGTCTCAAGGGGGAGTGAGGAGAATTGTGCATAACAGGGAAGAAGAGATGCAAAACCAGAAACCTCTCCTGGCTACAATCTGTCTCCTATAAATCTGAGGACAGAGGAAAAGAATGTCTTTGGTCTCTCTGATTCAGATCACTTCAGGTGAGTTAACCCCTTCAGAGACTCTGGGATGGCTAACAGCCCCGGTGTGACCCAGCCCTTCCACTGCCACCCTATTGAACTAGGGCACCCATGCACCGGAAGAGCTGGGCTATGGCTATCAGCACATCAGAAGTCTTCTCCTTCCAGAGAAAACACATATCCAGTGCCCAGGAAGGGGAAGAAAAGGCAAAAAGCCGGGTAAAATAAAATAAATTTGAATAGGTAAACCAAAAGATTAGTCGTCCCTTAATAGGCAGTTCTGTTAAGTGCACCTTCAGGTCTACAAAGACATTTCAGCACATTACAGTGCGAGGGTAAGAGCTTGGTCAAACGTCGCATGCCTATGCTACACAGGTAATCCCTGGACTGCATTCCTACCGGATTCATTGCAATGAGCTACAGATGGGCTAAGCAGCATTCATTGTCATCACACCACCCCAAAGGCATAGCAATCCCTCGTCTCCCGTCCCAGGCTGATAGGTTCCCCGCATGCAACACTTTCCCCTATAACACATGCAGAAGAATCAACCAGTTCGGGGTATAACTGCGAGAAGTATGCCAAGTAGCCAAAGTCAGCCTTCGCCCCGTTTCCGCATCTTCTAACCCATCCGTCCCACAGTACCGAGTGGATTATTGCTGTTGACAGAGTGCAGCGTTTTGAGTTCTGTGTGTCCTAGACCTCAGAGTCGAAATAAAAGATCTAGATATTCCCCAAGGACTGGGGAGAGGTTGGCTTTTTTTTTTTTTCCAAACTGGAGACGTTCAAGCAAGTAGGAGAAGAATCGCCAGGATGAGTTAAGGTTCGGACGGGAAAGAGACATCACACGGGAGGGTTTAATGCCCTGTGGTCAGATGCTGCGCAGTTCTCGGCCCCTCGTCTTCCACGATGGGTGTTGCGGTGGCCTCGCGGACTCAGACATCCCATGGAAAAATGAGATACCCATGTTCTTTCTTCACTCAAGTTCACCGGCCTGGGTGTCACTCGAGTTTCTGGGTTGACTGCCTCACTGCTAGTTCTAGGAGAGGACGGGAGAAAAGGATGAAAGTAACAATGTAGATTTCTGGAAGGAGCCGGGCAGGAAGGTCAGGTGGTCAGCAGCAGGCGGCCACATGCTAAGTGCAGAAAGAAGATTCCCCATTTCAGGGTCCTTATGAAGGCTGTGAGTGCCTCTTCACGGGTGGACAGCTGCCGGGCTCCAGAGGCCCGTGTCCCGTGGCTCTCTTTCAGGCGGACACAGGGTCCCCACTGTTCTCTGGGCTGGGTGACTAGGGCAGCAGAAGTCAGAGGCTCAGCCAGTGAAGGGACTGCCAGGTGGGCAGATCACGGGAGCATCACGGGAAATATCGGAAAGGGATGGGCCAGGAGGGGAGGCCTGGGAAAGGTTATTATGAAACGGAGTGTTCCCACATCCACAGCGTTGCTTGAAAAGATGAGACTTTCAGAGAGGTTTGCAAAGTGCTGCCGCTAACAGAGAAAGAATAAGGAAACGTGCCGGGAACTCTTCACTGGACCAGAGGAAGCCTTGCATGTCCAGAGCGGCCCCTGATAGGAAACAAATTCCCAAAAAAGTTTAGATCTTGGCTTCTGGTAGAGAAGAGGAAAAGATAAGTTCACAGTTCACGTCCAGTTCAAAGACGGGTCTCAGTTCACATCCAACATCGGGCCGTCAAAGGGACCAAGTCCAGTGGATGGCCAGAGAGACAGCACCCACCTGGATCGCTCCTCTCCAGGGGGTAGGGTGGTGTGGTGTGGTCTTCTCACAGTGGTGAAATGAGATGGCAAGGATGGAAAAAGCAAAAGCAAAATATCTGTGCCCCAACCCTTCCCCCCTTTTGTTACCTAACTTCTCAGCTGTGTGACAGAGGCACTTTCTGCAGTTCACTGTGGGTACAGGATAAAGGCACTAAGCAACTATTAAATCAATTGGTTGAGTATATTTGGGGAGCCTCAAGGGGAGGGCCAAAGTCTCTACAGACTTCAAATCATGGTTGCAAAAACCAAACCAAAAAAAAAAAAAAAAAAAAATCAGCTCTGCTTTGGATGCATATACTAGATAAACATTTTCATTTACATCCTAAGAATGCACCAAAAAACATGCAGTATTGCACCTTTTTTTTGTTTGTTTGTTTTGCTTGTGTTTATCTTCAGCTAGAAAGGATACTTGTTCTTAGGTGTTGCTATATATACCTTGATGACTTATTTAGTTTTTCACATAGCTTCCCTTTAAGGGATGGGCATATTGGTCCTCTCTCTCCCTATACCTGCACAGAAACCTGACATTTCCCTGAGCAAAGGCAGGAAAAATGACTGAGTGTCCCCCTCCCCCACCCCCCATTATTTCTGTTGGGCCTTTCATCCCACAGACTTGTGATTTTTATCATTTTTAAAAAGTTTTATTATGGAAATCATGCATTAATTAATTCAAGGTACATCTTAGTCAAATAGGCCATAATGCTGAATAAGAGAACATGCTTGGAGCTCCAAAAAGTTATTGTTCCCATCTGACTAACATATGCACTTAAATACAGTACTTTATTTACTAATAAAATAGTTAATAAATGGAGGAGTGCACTTTTGGTGAATGCAAATGAAAAAGAATCTATTTTTAGAAGAGTCGATTTCAACGTAAGCTTATCCCCTATTGTCTGGGTTAACGTTCTCAGCATGCGATTATAAAATAAATGTCATCAGATTCAAACATGCTTACATTTAACTCCATTTGTGCTCTCTTGCAATAAGGAGGCTAAGGTTTAACTTCCAGTTCTGAAGGCCAGGGGTCAGCGTGCAGGTCTGGTGAAAGAGACCTGTATTTGACTCGTCTACAGTTGAGAAAACTTAGCAGCACTGCAGATGAATCAGTGAACTTATTTCAGCTATCTTTTTCTCAGAGAATTGTCTGAAGAATGGGGTGGGGTGAAATCCCTCCCTACAGATCAGGACCGGGATCAGATTTATCTTAAGTAGTTTTGTTGTTTGTTTGTTTTCACCTCATAATATGCAGTTTGATCAAAACAAAAATGTCTTTTACTGCCCATCCTGGCCGGTATATATCATGTTACATATGATACATCCGATGCAGTGTCTTAAATGTGCTGTACAGTTTGCAAAGATTTTGCATTGGCGCCCCGTGCACATTTTACTTTTATATTTCTAAGTGATCTGGTTCATAATTGGGAAAAAAAAAAGGTCAAAGAAGCCAAAGGATTAAAAATGTTTCAGTAGGGGCAGGTGTACGATTCTTATTTTACCTAGAGTGGCCAGTACATGGACTGAATTTTTTAAAGCCCGTTTTAGAAAATACTCTCCCTTTTCTCATTTTGTAAATAAAATGAAAATAGTTTCTTTTTCTCACGGATCTTGAAAGCTTCTGGTTCGTCACCCCCCCTTCCCCCCCAAAGGCCACAATGCAACAATGCATTGACAGTGACGTAGGGCGTTCAAAGACTATTTAGGAAAGTATCTACAAAGGGGGACCGGAGCCACTAGGGTTTTTGCTTAAGTCTTTTGAGCTGCTAAGTGGGGCTTTTTCGCCTGCCTGCTGGACTGAGCTTAGACATCGGTCAGCAGCTTGCTCTTATTAATGCAGTTTTGGTTAGCGGTGGTGCAGTTGCCAGTTCGGATGTTGGCCTGCCTATAGTGGGCTATGCTGTTATTGACATCCTCTTCGATCTCCATGTACTCGGACTTGCTGAGAGTGGAGGAGCTGCGGCGGCTGAGGTCACTGTCAGAGGCTAAGTTAGGGGAGCTGACGTGGAGTAGCTGAGCCTGCTCTTCCCCCTCCGTCTCCCGGTGGTAGAAATAGTTGAAATTGGACACGATGACAGGTACGGGCAGGGCAATTGTCAGCACACCAGCGATGGCACACAAGGAGCCCACGATCTTGCCTCCAATTGTCACAGGGTACATGTCACCGTATCCCACGGTGGTCATGGACACCACCGCCCACCAGAAAGCATCGGGGATGCTGGAGAAGTGAGACTCAGCTTCTTCCGCCTCGGCAAAGTACACTGCGCTAGAAAACAGGATGACCCCGATGAAGAGGAAGAAGATGAGCAACCCTAGCTCCCTCATGCTAGCCTTGAGGGTCTGGCCCAGGATCTGGAGGCCCTTGGAGTGGCGGGAGAGCTTGAAGATCCTGAAAACCCTGACCAAGCGGATGACCCTGAGGATGGCCAGCGACGTGGCCTGCTCGCCCTTCTGGTTCCCCTCCTGCTCGGCGACCTCGGTGCCCAGCGTGATGAAGTAGGGGATGATGGCCACGATGTCGATGAAGTTCATGATGTTTCTGAAGAAGTCCGCCTTGCTGGGGCAGGCGAAGAAGCGCACCACCAGCTCGAAGGAGAACCAGATGATGCACAGGGTCTCCACGATGAAGAAGGGGTCCGTGAAGATGGGGGAGCCGTCGACCAGCGTGGCGTTGTCGGCGCGGCGCGCGGCGCCCGCCAAGGCCTTCTCGTCCTTCAGCTCGGGCAGCGTCTCCAGGCAGAAGATGACGATGGAGATGAGGATGACCAGGACCGAGACGATGGCGATGACCCGCGCGGGGCCCGAGCTCTCGGGGTACTCGAAGAGCAGCCACACCTGGCGCTGGTACTCCTTCTCGGGCAGCGGGCGCGCCTCCTCCTTGATGAAGCCCTCGTCCTCGCGGAACTTCTCCATGGCCTCCTCGCCCAGCTCGTAGAACTTGATCTCCTCGGAGAACATGTCCAGGGGCACGTTGACCGGCCGGCGCAGGCGGCCGCCCGACTGGTAGTAGTAGAGGATGGCGTCGAAGCTGGGCCGGTTGCGGTCGAAGAAGTACTCGTTGCGCAGGGGGTCGAAGTAGCGCATGCGCTTCCGCGGGTTGCCCAGCAGCGTGTGCGGGAACTGCGCCAGCGTCTTGAGCTGCGTCTCGAAGCGCAGCCCCGAGATGTTGATGACCACGCGCTCGCAGCACTCGTGGTCCTCGTGGGCGGCCGCGCGCGGG